TTTTTTTTTTTTTTTTTTTTTTTTTTTGAGACAGGGTCTCACTATGCAGCCATGGCTGGCCTGGCTCTGCCTCTGCCTCACAAGTGCTGGGAGTAAAGGGGTGCCCCATCACACCCAACTAGAAGTCTGTATTTCTAAAATTAATAACTTAAAAAATTTTAATAACTCATCGGTCTTATTGTCCAGTAGCATTTAATTTAGTTTTAGGATAACATGACTTCATCCTTCCTCTCCCTGAATAAGATCAGTGGCTCTGGTTTAAAAGCAAGGTATCCAGATTACTGGCCAAAATCACTGTGCTTTGTATGTGTGTCTTTCAGTCAAGGCTGGGCTTGAATTCAGATGTTCTCTTGCCCCTGCCCCCAGGTGCTGGGCTGAATGGTGTGCACCACCATGGCCTGCTGTCTTTCACCTTTTGAATGTGAGTGTTACTCTGACTAGAAAAAAAAAGTCAAGACACTGAATTTGACTTACCTTTTAGAAACTTAAATTTCTTGAGAAGATCAGCACCTACGAAAGAGTCACAGAGGTACAAGAGGAGCCCACTGAAAAACACCCCTTCACAGTTGACGTTGCTTGAGTGGGGTCTGGAGCTCACGTAGCATATGGCCACCTGGAAGCATTAAGAGAGATGATAGGGACATTTCAGAAGCAATCAGACTGACTATACTGCTGGAGCAGTGCCACCTTCTTTAAGTTCACTGCGCAAGGTGAAGGAGCCAGCTCTTAGTGAAGTGTCTCATAGTATATCACTGTTCTGACAGAAATGTTAAACTCTGTCACGAGAGAGTTTAAAAACCCTACAGTCCATAAAAAAGGCATACTTAGGAAAGATATCTTTCAGTTGGATAGAAGCTTAAAATGGCATGAATTTCCGTGTACAGAAGATATACACCAAAATCACAGGAAAGCAGCAAGGTAGTAAGCAGTGGACTAGCTAAACTCTGCTTGAATTCCAATCCTTGTTTTTTTTGTTTTTGTTTTTAAAGTTTGTAGCCATATAGCATTGGGTAGGCCTGTTTGATAAAAGTATTTTTGAATTAATAAGGTAATCCACTCAGTGTTCAGCAGTGTTAGCTGCTGTTAGCAGTGGTATTGTGATCATCTTGACACATGGCTGTTTTGTCTTTTGAGACAGTTTATCACTATGTAGCCCAGGCTAGCCTCTTGAATGCTGAGATTATACACATTGTCCATGTTCAGCCATCAGATAGATTTTGAAGTTCCCTTCTATCCATAAAATTCATGCCTCAACCCACAGCATTTACTAAAGTATCATAAAACTAATGATGTAACATATCACCATTAATTTAAAGCATTTAATTTCCAAAATTGAATGCAGAACTTAAAAAGAGTTTATGTGTAGATAAGTTAGTAATTGTCAGTACATGCAAAGGAAAAACCCTGGAAAAAAGTACAACACAACAAAACGTTTTTTTCAGATTATGGGTGACTTTTTGGTGGTGGTAATTTTTTTTTCTTTTGGTCTTTTTGACTTGGTCTCTCTGTAGCCCCAAGTGGCCTGGAACTCAACAGAGATCCAGGCGCTGGGCTGAATGGCCTCCCAGGTGCTGGGATTAAAGGCATATGCCACCATGCCCGGCTAGGTGGTGGTAATTTCTTACTATGTGTGGGCATGCATGTGCCACGGTGTACATGTGGAGGTCAGAAGACAACTTGCACTTCTCTTTACTATGTGGATTTGGAGGAGTCAACAAAAGTTAGCAGGCTTGGTAGCAAGCACTTTACCCACTGGGCCATAGTGCCAGCCCTGGTTTATTTTCTTTGTCTTTATTTTATATTTTATTTTTTATTTTGAGACAGGGTCTCCCTGTAGCTCCAGCTGGCCTGGAACTCACAGAGATCAGCCTGCCTCTGCCTCCCCAGTGATGGGATCAAAGGCGTGTGCTACCATACCCAGACTAAATAATTTTTAAAAATAAAGACATAAGCTGGGCATGGTGATGCATGCCTTTGATCCCAGCACTTGGGAGGCAAAGGCAGGCGAATCTCTGTGAGTTGGAAGCCAGCCTGGTCTACATAGCAAGTTCCAGGCCAGCTGGGGCTACAGGGAGACGCTGTCTCAAAAAGACCAATAATAATAATAATAATAATAATAATAATAATAATAAAGACATAAGCCAGACATGATTGTACATGCCTTTAATCCCAGCACTAGGGAGGCAGAGGCAGGCAGATCTTTGTGAGTTCCAGGCCAGCTGGAGCTACAGGGAGACCCTGTCTCAAAAAAATTTTTTTTAATTGGTTATTAAGTAGCCCAAAGGGAAAGCTTAGCAGCAGAAACCTGGAGGTACAAACGGAAATTTGAAAACTAAGCCAGAAGTGGTGAAGACTTGAAGTCCAGGGTTGGAAAGGAAGAAGCACCAGCTATAAAGGTCTCGGTGCATATTTGTTCAGTAATCACTGAGCTCTTCAGAATGTTAAAGTATTGTGTGCCTTTCAAGAACTGAAAAACTAGAGAAAAGTCACATAATCACATCATATTCTGATCAATGTCAAGGCCAGTGGGAACAAGTAGCGACTTCTGCCCAAGGTTATCGAGTCAACTGCTCTAAGAAACCTGCCATCTGAGCTACACTTTAAATGGTCACTGGCTCATTCTGGAGGCAAGATAGGTATGGAGGGGGAGAGCTGCCATCGATTAACTCATATGAATCTTTGTATCATATAATCACTGTCTTTCTTTGCATCATATAATCACTGTCTTTCTTGTTACTATCTAACTCAGACTGAGCTACACTAGGAAAGAAATGGATGTGGACTAGCCAGTCCTGCCTTTACCTCCTGTCCAATGTTAAGGTAGCAGTCAATAGCCAGCACAGGACTCTTGAAGTTATGGATGGCTTTGGGGAAGAGTTTATAGGAGGCATGTTGAAGGAACTTCTCCAGGAGGAACTGTGCAGGGGCTGCCAGTAGCGTGTGTTCACTATCAGGAGCACAGACGTAGTGCAGGGGCAAGATGGGAGCTAAGCTCTCTGACACCTGAAATCAAATATCAAGGGAAATGCATGTCAGTGAATGGAATGGTTTAAGGATGCACTGAGTGGAATCCTAAATTCTTCATATACAGTAGTTCTCACAGTGGATACCTGAAGTCACAGGTAGTACTGAGTCCTCTGTTTTCAGACACACCAATAAAGCTTCATTTATAAACTAGGCATAGTAAGGGATTATAAAATAGAATATAGTAAAAGTTAATATGTAGTCTTTTGAGAGTCAAGACATTTTCAAGTCATCATTGACAGTGGTAACTAGAAACTGCAGATAAAGGGGGACTGCTGCATTAGTAAAGCACAGTGGCCTGATGGGTTCAAATGTGTGTATCATTTTGAGTTCTGAATTCTCCACCCCCTCAGGAATGGTATTTAAGGTGAGTTATAGCAAGACTTTTTGGAAAGCTACCCTAATGAGTACATTATAAGGTCCAATAGGCAGTCTTTTACAGTGCTACTGGGTGTGTATGGGTTGAATCCTATCCCAATCCGACAACAAAAGGCAGAGGTTTGTTTCTAAGCTCCACTAGGTAGTCTACATGCTGTAGATGACTAGCTGCTGAACCTCTTAGGAACTTACGGATAAGCCTATGGCATTCACTTTACAGATTTTGATCTGTAATATCTTTAAAAAAATAAGGAACAGATGAGCATTTGCTTTATATTTCTCCCCTGTGCTACATAGGGATTTTCACAATATAAAGAACGTCATGTTGAAAAAAAGCTTTAAGGTGGAATCTTTAAGGCTAGATCAATTTGGTTGAATTGGAATTGTCAAAGCTTATGTTCTGGTTCTACCTGGGTCCTCAGTAACAGAAATGAAACTGCCCAGCTGGCATTAGGAGCTCCCTTGGCTACTTAATTGAGTGGAAAGTACTTGCATGCCAGGACCTAATGACAAGAGTTCTTTAAGAAATCATTGTGCTCAATTTCAACAGTAGAATCAAACTTTACGAAACTTACCATGATCTTTGGCTTAATGATAAAGTCCCTTTGCCCGCCAACCTGAACATGTTTCTTCATGAGACTGAAGTTATTAAAGCGGCAGATGAGCAGGCCACTGCTGTTTGTTCTCAGGTTAAAGTCAACATCCTCACAGAAATACCTAAATCATAACCACAATGATAGGTTCCACTGTCACATCTCAACTATGACAACTACACAGAGAAATGTGTGGCAGATGTTAGGGGAGGGCCCAAAACATGGAGTTTGCCCTCATGGAGTTGGCTCTCACTGTACTGACCTATGAGAGCCCCTGATTTGAGCACTGCAGGCATTAAAGGAAGAGATGACTTTTGTCTCAAAGATGCCTCAGGGTTTTAGGTATTCCTGTCAGAAACAGAACTATGTTCTGTGTATTTGAGCAGAGTGCTGACAGTCTTCTGGTTTAAAGTCTTGGTTACAAAATGTAGCACAGAAGCAGTGGCTAGTCTAGTAGCCACAGATTGGAGGTGGATGTATGAGCAGGAGCTCAGGAATGTACGGACTCAGGAATGTGGGCTGACTGATGACAAGTCCTCTCTGCTGTCTCTTCCCTGCAGGATTCAAATCTCTGAATAACACAGATCTCTTAAAACTAGAGAAAGCAATTTCCTTCTGAGCTCAGAGGAGGAATGGGGGTTAATCTTGCATGATTATAGGTCCATAAAATGATTTGTATTGATTTGGTGGGTTTTGTCCCTGTTTGGGTTTTTGAATAATCGAATGGCCAATGTGTTTTCTAAGTATTTCACACTACACATCTAGATTAAGGGTCTAGGTCATGCTAGCTGTCGTGGCATGCACCTGTAATCCCAGCACTCAGGAGGCTAAAGCAGGAGGCTCACAGTTTGAGGTCAGTCTAGGCTACATCACAAGTTTTAGGCCAGGATCTAGTCAGTTCGAAGGGGCTTATGAGTCAAGACACAGAGAAATACAAATACTGCAGAGGTTGAAGGTGGGCAACAACCACCAGCAGATGCCAAGATGACCTGCATCCACAATGCTTGACTTACCTGTTGAAGTCATACTGCACATTCTGGGTTAAGTCTGTGTTGAGGAGAATGAAGTCATGTACATGGCACCTAGAGAATGGGGCCTTTAGGCTCTGAGAAGTCAGCTTGCTGCTCCATTTTTGTATACCCAGGATCGCATAGTGGACAATTTTTGGTGTGGCTTCAATATGCTGCAAGACGCTCTTCAAGGACACGTTTTTACTGGAAACTCCTGCTTCCATGGGCTGGCTATAGGATGTAAAGTTTATATAAAATGTCAGGTTACCTAAGGACCAACACTACATATCAGGAGTACAGTAAAGGATGTAACAAGCTAATTTGTATTAATATGGGATAGAGAAAGGTGTTAAGTCCAGTGTTTACACTGCCTGTCATGACTAAGTGGCTTTTGGGGGTGGAATCCAGCCCATGTTTTAAAGTGAATAATGAACAGGAGTTACCAAAGAGCCAGAGGTTAGAAATAGAGAAATGCCCAGTTCTGGTAGTTACATATAATAAAGGAGTATATGAATACATAACTGATTTCAAGTCCACAAAAATGACAGGAAATCATTAAGGGTGCTGTTGAGTTTTGGAGGCATTTTATTAGGACGATTTCAATATTTAACATTTCTCCCTGACTACAACCCCTGTAGGAAGTGAGTGCTGCTCCGTGAGAACCGCTGAGTTTGGTCCAGCCCTTCGAGGTGATGGGCTTGAGACAGGTGAGAAAACTTTGTTTTCATCCAGGTGGTTAAGGAGAGCTACACAGATAAATCACAGCATCAAAACTTTGTTCTTTTAGGATGATCTTACTATGTAACACTGCTTGGCCTGTAACTCACTATGCAGACCAGGTTGGCCTCGTGCTCAGAGATCCACCTACCAAATGCTAAGATTAAAGTAGTATGCCACCAGGTCTGGTCCAAAACAAATTTTTATAGCTAACCAATACCACAATGGGGAAACAGTTCAGGAACTTAATGCCACATTGTCTTAAAATAAATAAATAAATGGGTATGGATAAATGACTGCAGTTATGAGCACTTGCTGCTATTGCAGAGGCCCCAGGCCTGGTTCCCAGCACCCACATGGCAGCTAACAACTGTAACGCTAGTTCCAGGGTATCTCATACCTTCTGGCCTCTGTGGGCACTGCACACACATGGTACACTTACATACATGCAAGCAAAACACTTGTTTTTTAATCCCCAAGTAACTCCCAGTGGGCTAGTGAGGGCAGTCTCATTATCCACCTTGCTTAGGAAAGCAGTGTCTCTTCCACGTGTAACTACAACTAAGAAAAATTCCTTCTCTAGATCATTAGGACATATTCCTCCACAGTTGCTTGAAAATTACCTGGTTTGCTCCTGAACACTGTGAATGTTCCATAGGACACAGGAGTCATCCATCACAACGATGAAAGGCCAGACACACTGTCGTTTGATTCCCAGCTCCTCTAGACGATTCCTTTCCAGTTCTAGGTTGTGATAGGACAGCTCCTTAATGAGGAACCTAGCAGCACCTGGAAGGCAGTACAACTACAGCTCCACATCCTTCACTCAAACCAGTCATCTTCCCTCCATTGGTATCCTGTTCACATGGAGATTGTTTGCAGGTGGGAGCCTACCAAGTGTTCAGACCAGTGGTTCTATAAGCAGTGGATGTAAGAGTCAGTAGGCCGGGGTGGGGGTGAGGGTGGCTCAAGAGATGACTCTTGTGGAGGACCCAAGGTTGGTTCCCAGCACTCATGTCAAGTGGCTCACAACCACCTGTAATTCCAGCTCCAGGAGGATCTGATGCCTTTGGCCTCTGCAGGTACCTACACTCAAGTACACACACCGCACCCCATAATTTTTTTTTACAATATTTTTTAGAGAAGTCATTGGGAAAGGCAGTTTAAAATGTGGATTCCTGGACCTACCACCTATCAGTTGAGGGACCAGAAACCACTGGTGATGCATGAACTACACTGCACTCTTGACAAGTACTGCAAGAATCCAGATTCCCTGATACCACAAAGGGTACTGCAAAGAGCAAATGATACTGATTCGTTCATTAGAACATGGCAAGGAGCTCACTCTTAGTCACTCAAATGTGTTGCACTAGACAGTAGCCAGGGCCAAGATGAGTGAGAGAGTGGTAACAGGATTCTGGAAATAGGTATCCTCCTTAGATCTGCATTTTCTGAGAGACAGGATGGTGTGTTATATAGAATGGCCAGAGTGAGTTGATCAGGAACAAGCTGCCTGAGTCTTGAGTCCTGAAACTTTCTAGCCCTGTGATTGAACAAGTTAACTCCATTGAGCTTTGGCTTCCCCACCTGTAAGAAGGTGATGGCAGCATCACTGAGTTGTACGATGCCTAACACATGGCAAGTTCTCAAAAGAGTGTTAGTGATAACTGGTGATCAGGAATTGGCCAAATTTTATGAGTGGCCCACCCTAAAATGAAACAAAATGTTGATTGTAATGAAATGAAGGGGCTGGAAAAGGCTACTTAATCTATGGAAGAATGTAAAACAGTTCAATTAGATCAAAGGTAATAGTAGGATTTAGGAACATACAGCTCTCAAGAGTCTATGCAATACTTTGCATTCTCTCTGGGGGGGGGTGGCGTTTTTTAAAAAAATATTTTTTATCTTATGTGTATTGCCTGCGTGTATGCCTGCGTGTATGTAAGTGCACCTGTGCCGTGCAAGGCCCAGAGGACAGAAGGTATGGGATCCCCTGGAACTGGAGTTACAGTTACTAGCTGCCATGTGGGTACTGGGATTCGAACCCGGGTCTTCTGCAACACCCAGTGTTCCTAACTGCTGAGCCATCTCTCCAGCACCCCCCTGGGAGGGGGTATCTTTTTGAGACAGGGTCTTCCTGTAGCCCCAGTTGCTTTGGAACTCACTATGTAGACCAGGCTGGTCTCGAACTCACAGAGCTCTTCCTGCCTTTAATCCTTGCTGGGATTAAAGGCACACTCAGCTTTATCCTTTACATTCTCAACATAATATGGGCCACATAGGAAAAGATCCCAGCTAATAACATCAGTCAATGGTGAAAGACTGAAGTTTTCTCTGTAGGATCCGAAGCAAGATGTGGATGATTGCTTCCATCTAGTAGTACCAGAAAGTCTAGCCAGAACATTTAGGCAAGAAAAAGAAAAGTGATCCAAATCAGAATAGCAAAATTATATTCTCCAACAGTACATCTTATGTAGAGAAAATATTAAAAGTTCCACACAAAACTGTTAGAATTAAGTGAATTCAGTAATAGTTCATGTAAAATCACTTGCATTTCTGTACAGCAAAGGTGAACAGTCTAAGGAAATTAAGTTTAATTTACTGTCAAAAAGAATATAATACTTCAGAATAAACTAGAGACTGTACAGTGAGAAGCACACAATATTGATGGAGAAAATTAAATAAATGGAAAGATACCCAGTGTTTATATAGCTGTCAATACTACCTAAAGGTCCATAGTTAGTACACTTCTAATCAAAATCCCTTTTTTTCACTGAAATGGAAAAATCCATCCTTAATAGAATTTGAGGGCACCTGAAATTGCAACAATAGTCCTGAAAAAAATTGGAGGCGTCATTGATACAGGCAATAATTGTGTTTTCAAATAGGACGCCAAAGACAGAAAAAAACAGATAAATTGGGGCTTTAATTAAAGTCTCTGAAGCAAAGGAAATAATCCATGGAGTTGAGACCACACACAGGGCTGGGGAGGTGACTCAGCAGCTAAGAGTGCTTGCTGCTCTTGGATAGGACCTGGATTTGCTTCCCAGAACTGACTCTTAAACCACCTCTAACTCCAGGAGTTCAGCTGCCTTCTGGCCTCGTCACTTGGGTACACATGTGGTGCCCATACATGCAAGTAAACACACAAAATAAAAATCTTATTTAAAAAAAGACAGCCAGAATGGGACAAAATGTGGGAAAACTGATCCAACAAGGCATTAATATCTGGAACATAAAAGGAACTTGAGAAACAACAGCGAGTAATGCAGTTAAAAATGGGCTAGCTCGGCACTGTGCACACTTTACTCCCAACACTTGAGAGGCTGAGGCAGGAGAATCACCACTTCAAGATCAGCAATGGCTACATAGCAAGGCTTTGTTTAGAAAATAGCCCCCAAATGGCCAACAAGTATATAAAATGCTCAGTATCACTAATCATTAAGAAATGCAAATCAAAATTGCTGTGTGATAGCATCTCACCTCAGAATTGCTACTGCCAAAAAAATAATTTTGGCAAGGATACAGAGAAAAAGGATCTCTTAGATGTTGGTGGGAATGTAAACTGAGCTATTATAGAAAATGCCCAATGAGACCTTTAAAAAGCAAAGAAGTACCATATGATCCAACAATCCTACCAGTTGGTGTGTATCCAAGAGAGAGTAAACCATCGTACTAAAGAGGTACTTGCAGCCTGTGCCTATTCACAATATCTAAGATAATGGGATCAAAAAGACAAACACTTTCTTCATACACACTCATCTGAGAAGAGTGGACTGGGATATGGTCAATAGAGACTGGAAAGGGCAGGGAGGAAGGAGAGGGCAAGAAGTTCAATAAAGAGCACCGAAATTAGGAATTCTGGTTTTCCATAGTACAGTAGGTTAATTATTGGTTAAAAGAATCCATGATGCATTTCAAAATGACTAGAATACAAAACTCCCAGCACAGAAGTGATTCATGTTTAAAAAGAAGTGCTTATTACTACAATTTGATTAATAACATAGTACATGTATCAATTTATAGCCCATACAGGTGTACATGTCAGAATTTTAAAATGTTGGCTTTATATTTCTTGTTTTCAAAACTTAAAGCCACAGTCATCAAAGCAGTGTCTTAGTGATAAAAGACAGAGGGAGCCAATAAATAAACCCTCATATATGACAAGGGCACCAAGGCCATTCAGTGAGGGAAAGAACTGGCTTCAACAAGTGGTGTTGGAACATCTGGATTGCTATGTGAAAAAATGAAGTTGCACCTTTATCTTACAAGAATTAAAGTGCATCAGTGACCCAAACAAAAGCTACAACTAGAGAACATTTAGAAGAAAAAAAGATTTATGACACTGAATTCGGCAGTGATCTGCATGTGGTACTAAAACAAAAGGAAAAACAAACTGGACTTCATCAAAATTATCTTCTGTGCATAAAATTGACATTAACAGTAGAATGGGTACTATATATGTATATATATACATGTATATACATATATACACAGACATTATATATATGTATATATCAAGAGTTGACATTGAGAAAAAAAGACCTATAATTTAACAAAAAAGTGAGCCAATTGAGGAAATGAGCAAAGGACTTTGGGAGACATTTCTCTGAAGAAGACACCGCCTAAAACCAAAACTGCTCAAAGCCAAGCTTGGTGGCACATACCTGTAATCTCAGCTATTTGGGTGGCCGAGGCAGGAGAATCAATTAAAGCCCTGCCCGCACAACACAGTTCAAGGCCAGTATGGACAATGTAGAGAAACAATCTCAAAAGGTAAATGAAAAGGGGTTGGGGTTAGACTTTAGCAGTGGGGTGCTTGCCTATCATGTGAAAGGCCCTGAGTTCAACTTCCAATACTGGGGTGGGGGCAAGATCAAAAAACCACAGTGAAGTTAACACCTCAGGAAATAGATGGGGAATCTTAAAAACTATGGCACAAGAAGTGCCCCAGATGGCATGGCAGGATTCAGTTAGAGGTTTCTTGCCTGGTAAGGCTGGTGAAGGTGATCTAGACATCCCTGGTGCCTCTCAATGCTTCTGAATGAAAACTCTGAGAAGTCAGCCATTGTTATTTTTCCCTCTGGGGAAAACCAGGAAGGATTCCTTCCAGGAATCACTGTCCACTTGGACAGCATCTGCTGTGGAACTTGCTTTGTTCCCCTTAAGGAGACCCAGCAGGGGCCCCTCCAAATCAGGTGGATCACCACCTCCCACCCTACAGTAGTGTCACGGTAACATTCCAGTCCTAGAGTTTCCAGTCCAGGAACATCTGCTGTCTACATTGAGAAGACTCCCCAACCCTTCCAAGGGAGCTCAGTATTCCGGTGATTTCTTCATTACTAGTCTTCAGAAGCTAAGCATTCTGCAAAACTGAACAAAAAAGGCGGAGGCCTATAAAGCTGCAAAAAAGGGAGAACGACTCAGGTGAGTCAAAAGCCCTCTGGTCAGGAGGGTGGGGCAGTCTTTGGAAGACACACACGGGGGTGCGTATGGAACTCAGTTTGTCTTCTCAGCCCTTCTCCCACTCCAGGGGCGCCCCTTACCCACGCCTGCATTATTGAACATGCCGGGAAGCACCAGCATGATGTGGTTGGGCCAGTACTTGCGGTACAGTGGCATCTCATATTCTTTGACTACCAGAAGGTGAAGGTGGCTGATGCCCTCCATGGCATGGAAAAGGTTTAGGAGTCCATGTTCATGGCGACCACTGGAAGGAGTGAAAATAGGGCTCTTGACTGCATTCAGATTCTGTGGAAAGGAAAACAAGTGACACAGGAGGAAGGGAAAACCTGTAGAGGTGAGCAGCTTAGAGAACCCCACCCAGGGCCTGGCACCCCTCATACCCAGATGCTCTCACCCACCTTGTCTGAAACCAGGGGCAGCCGCATGCTCTCCAGGTGTCTGCCCTGCTTACTGAAGACAAAATGACTCTCTTTGGATTTGGGAATGATGAAATAAAGCTGAACTTCCTCTCCCAGCATAGAAGAAGAAAATGTGAACGCATGGAGGGTGGAGTCAGACATCTACATTTGCAAAGAAGAAAGGGAGGGAAGGTCAGTTTGTGGGTCTGGACTTGAGGCCATTTTTCAGACCATTGACACAAGCACACTGACATGAACTATTAAGGACCACCAGACCTGGTTGGGAGTAGCAACATGTGAAAGGCTTTATTGGTTAGTAGCTGCATCGATGGAGCTCATGCTGCCTCAATATAGCCTCCCCAAGGGAAGAGATACTTTGCATTCCTCATGAGTTTAGGACCACACCTGCTCAGTCTACAACACTTACCTATGTGTCAGACTGAACAAATGATCAGTTCTTTAAAAAGTAGGACTAGAACTAAAAATGTGTCTGCCCCATCATTGCTTGTTTCAGTGGAAGGTAAAGAAGTTCAAACATTTACCCCAGAATTTAGACCAGGGAGAGACCATGTGACTCATCAAAGCCATATATAAATCTAACCCATCTTTAAAGTTTTGGACATTCCATGCTCTAGGAACCTGTCTCTATGAATAATTATGTAATAAGGGTTTGTCAGACTTTACAATGCATACAGTATTTGGCTTAATGAAAGGATGGAATTCAATTTTCATTGGCAACTAAAATCCAGGTAAGTTTTAACCTAAATATTATATTTCAGAGAAAATTAATGTAGTTCTTCCCCTAAGTTCTGGTTTGTTCTGTATAATAAATGTGGGAATATATTACTTAGTACTGTAATAACAATATTAAGAAGGTTTTTAATACAGAAAATTTCTAAAAACCCATGATTTATAGGCTAACATACCTTTTTTTTTTTTTTTTTTTTTTTTTTTATTCCAAAAAAAAAAAAAAAAAAAAAAAAAAAACACCCAACACCATCTTGTTTCTAGAACTTTGGTTAGCTTTCATTTTTCTGAGTCAGGTTCTCACTGTAGAGCCAGCTGGCCTGGAACTCACTCTGTCCAGCAGACTGACCTCACACATGCAGCATTCGTCCTGCCTCTGCAAGAATCACACCACTGTACCTGGATCCTCCTCCCCTCCTTTTCCTGAGAATTCCTACCTATCAGTGAGCAGTGAAAAGTGTTGTCTCTGCAGGGCCCACTATGAGGAGCAGAGCACCTGCACGACTCTACAGCATCCCTCCACGGCTGTTGTATAACAGCTTTTCCTCGACTGACTTGTGGGCAGTGTAAGTCTTGTATCCTCATCTGTCAGAGTGTGTGGCTTGTGGCAAAAGCTCTACATCCACTGCCCTCACCACCCCATTGGCAAGCATCCTGTTGGGTCCTCTTTTTTTTTTTTTTTTTGGTCTTTTTGAGACAGGGTCTTCCTGCAATCCCAGCTGGCCTAGAACTCACTATGTAGACCCGGCTGACCTTGAACTCACAGAGATCTAACTGCCTCTGCCTCCCGAGTACTGGGACTAAAGGTGTGTGCTACCATGCCCAGTGTCTTCTATATTTTATAACAAATTGTGAACAGGGTAGGTAGGACGGCTCAGAGGGGAAAGGTGCTTGCCACCAAGCCTGACGTCCTGGGTTTGATGTCTGGAGCTTACATGGTGGAAGGAAGAGGACTTACCCCCTCAGGTTGTCCTCTGGCCTCTACGTACATACCATGGCATGCATGTGCTCATACACATGCATAGATGTACACACATACACTAAATGTCATTTAAAAAAAAATTGTTGGGGCTGGAGAGATGGCTCAGCGCTTAAGAGCACTGACTGCTCTTGAAGAGGACCCGGGTTCGATTCCCAGCACCCACATGGTGGCTACGAACCTCCTTAACTCCAGTTCCAGGGGAACTGAAGCCTTCTTTTGACCTCTGTGGCATTGCACGACATAGGTGCATTCACATACATGCAGGCAATACACTCATACACATAAAAAATAAAGATAATAAAAACATTAAAAAAGAATTTATCAGCAGACTAGTAGCTCACCAAGAAAACAAACAGAACATAACAGGTAACTTGTCCAGTTGTCAATAATGTTCTAGTGCATTTCTGAATTTCAGGATGTGCTTTTCAGGGGAAGGACCTGTTCCTGAGAATCAGGTTTGGGGAATTTCCTCAGCGCAGCCTAGAAGTGGCAGGCTTCCATGTACTCAGTGCCAAGTTAGAAAACTAGAAGATAAACTAGGAAACAACATGGAACTCTCCCCTCCTCCCAAACAGGCTTTGTCTGGGTACAAGTTTTTTTTCCTTTTTTTAAAATTATTTTTATATTAATGTGTATGCATGTATTGCCTGCATGTATGTAAGTGCACACATGTCGTGTAATGCCTGCAGAGGACAGAAGAGGCTGTTGGATCCTCTGGAAATGGAGTTATGGACAGTTGTTAGCTCCCATGTGGGTGCTGGGATTTGAACCCTGGTCTTCTGCAAGAACGGTCAGTGTTCTTAACTGCTGAGCCATCTCTTCAGCCCCCCTATTTTTTCCTTTTTGTGTTTAAAAATACACTGGGCATGGGGCTTGAGAGATGGCTCAGGGGTTAAGAGCACTGGCTACAGTACTCTTGCAGAAGACCCAAGACCCAGGTTCGATTCCCTATACCCACATGGCAACTAACAACTATAACTCTAGTTCCAGGGGATTTGAGGCCTCTTCTAACTTCCACATTGCATGGCACGGGTGCATTTATTTACATGCAGGCAATACACTCATACACAAATAGTAAAAAATCTATTTTTTACTAAAAGGTGCCAGATGGGACTGGGAGTGGTTGAATGTATATTCAGCATCTGTGAGGGCTTGGGGTCAACTCTACACACCTGGGAAGAGGGACCCTCAGCTGGGGAATTCCCTCTATTGGAGTGGCTTGTGGGCATGTCTGTGAGGCATTTTCTAGATATTGAGTGATGTGGGAGGGCTCTGCCTACTTTGGGTGGCACTGCTCCTGGGGCAGGTGTTCCTGGCATAAGAAGGCAGGCTGGGCACAGACCAGGAGAGCAAGCAGTAAGCAGTGTTCCTCCATGGCCTGTGCTTTAGCTCCTGCCCTGACTTCCTTGATGAAGGATTGTACTGTAAGCTGAAATAACCCTTTCCTCCCAAGTTCATTTTGGCCAGAGTGTTTTATCACAGCAATTGAAAGTTGGTCAGAACAACCCCTAACACCAAAATTTAAAAAAATAAAAGACATGCTGGGCATGCCTATAATTCTAGTCAGTACTCAGGCAGTTGAAGCAGGAAGATTGTGACTTGGAGGCCAGCTTGGACTAGTGAGTTCCTGTATCAAGAAGATTGAGGAAGAGGAAGAGGAGATGACTACTAATGAGTATAGCTCACCATGTCTTTCTCAGTCCTTACTGTGTGAAACAGGCATCAACTCCACTGGTCAAAACCATCCCAAGCTTGTTAGGCTTACAACTCTGTGGATCTGTTAGATCCATTTTGGCCAATGGCTCAAAGCAGGGAAAAGATGCTCTTGACAAGTACACTATAATATGTAGTTATTTTCAGGAACACAGATAAACAGCTACTTTCAAGCCAAACTGAAATGAAGCTGCTATCTCTTGCTGCAGTTCATTGAATCAGGGTTTCCCATGTTTCTCACAGGTGGTTTTTCCACACAAGTGAGCATCCTTTGTTTAGGGCCTGAAGCCAGAAGTCTCAGGTTGGGGGATGAAGAGATGGCTTAGTGATTAAGAGCACTGGCTGTTCTTGCAGAAGACCCAGGTTCAAATCCCAGCACCCACATGATGGCAAACAACTGTCCATAACTCCAGTTCCAGGGGGTCTGATGCCCTTTTTTGTTCTCCAAGTGCACCATACAACATGGGTGCACTTACACACATGCAGGCATAACACTCATACACATAAAATTAAAAAAAAATTTTTTTAATTAAAAAAAAAAAGCCTTGGGTTTCATCCTTCCACTCCACCCTTACCCACAAAACCCAGACTGGCAACAGAGGTCTGAGGCAAGGACCCAGGGGGAGCCATACCTGGGAGGTGGGGGTGAGGTCCATGTACTGGTGGCACTGCTCGCAGTGGTGGAAGGTGTTATAGGCTGCGTACTTGGTCAGCATCATGGATACAGTTTCTCGTTTCTGGGACTCACCTTTGCATTCCTTTATTACTTCTGTGTATATAGGGACAAAAAAACATCAGCCCCATAATATACATGTAAAGCCTGCAAAGAACTGTTCTCTAGTCTTCAAAAGCATTTTTTCCAAGGACAATATAATTTGCACCCTGATAAGCAGGTATAAAAACATGGAGGTGTGTGTGTGTGTGTGTGTGTGTGTGTAAGAGAAAAATGGGGATTATTTAATTGCTCTCAGCCTCCTGGTCTGATTTAGAGTTTCCTTAACCTTCACAAGAGATAAGCCTGGCTCCTCATGCACTGACCTTGTTTGACCCCTGCCAGCTTCTCAGTGTATACCAGGCTCATCAGACTGTACTTGGGATCATGCACACTGATGTCAAAAGGCATTTTGCTGAAGCTCTCGATGTCAGGCCAGGGCTCTCCCTCTGACTGGCTCACTTCACTGCTTTCACTGTGATCTGGGAAAACAGTGCACAGAACAGACATTTTCACCTCTTTCCTTCCTGAATGCCCCACGTCAGGGAGAGACGTGTTCCGAAGCATAAAGCCAGGAGGGTGAATAAAGGCATTTGTAAGAAATGAGCTCCCCTACACCAGAGGAGAAGGAACCAGAACTATTCCTTCAGAACTGTACTGGGAAGAGCATTTTTCCTCACTAGTCCTGTAATTAGTGTCTACAGACCCAGTTCACAAACTCCCATGCCAAAATATCCAGTCTCCCACCCACAGGTCCTTAGAAGCTTATTCAATTTGGATCATTTAAATTCTGTTTTAGCTATGAGGTTTTAAGGTATTGATGTCCTCGAGAATTTTGTTGAGGTATGTGTGATAGTGGGGGTTGATTTTAGTACTGGGGAATGAACCTATGGTATTGCATATGCCAGGCAAGCTCTACCACTGAGCCTTAGCCCCAGCTCTTTATTTGTTGACCTGTCTCACCTTGATTTTACTCTGGAGCCCAAGACTTGCTCTACAAGACTTGGAGTCCTCCTGCCTTAGCCTCCCCAGCAGCTAGGATTATAGGCTTGGTCACTGGGCTCTGAAGCTATACAAGAGATCTTAAGATACACTGAACACATGTCACAGCAAGTGTTGTATATTAGAATCACCTGGAACACGTGCTCTGTACCCTAGTACACACTCCCCCACCCCAACACATATCCTCAAGGGCAGTGAACTCAAAATCTTTTACTACCTAGGTACCAGCTACAGCCTTTGGGCATCTCTAGAACTTGAATCCTTTCCTCATCCCTTAGTGCTTCTCCCCTCTAGGCACTAAACGTAACTCCTCAGTGTACCTGCATTCTTGCAGGCCTTAGGGAACGCTAGGTATGGGATACTTAGGATTCTAGGGCAATGGCAGGCGCAGAGTATGTGTCTAGTAATGATGTTTATTAATAAAATGTATAAGATCAAAAAGTAGCTTGGGTCTGGCAAGATGGCCCAATGGATAGACTCTTGCTGCCAGGCCCGATGGCATGGGTAGGATTCCCAGGACCCATATAGGGAAGGAGAGAACAGACTCAAAGATTGTCCTCTTATCTACACCAATTTACACACACATTACACTTGATTTTTAGATCTTGGGTTATGTTTTCAGTTGAAGTTTGAATTTTACTTGAAATTTCAAGCATGTTGTAGTGAAGAAGGTGTTTTTGTGCCTTTCCAGAGCACCCTTAGCCCACAAGAGTGAGGGGGAAGGAAGAAAGCCGGGCTCACCTCTCAGTCTGGTGGTGATAGAGAGAGAGCCTCAGCGACCCAGGGGTTTCTGTAAACATTTCAGATAAAATCAAAGGCATCACTCTGGTGTGGTGCCAAAAAGTGTGGTGGTGGAGAGCTGGTAGGAACCAAGCCCAGACCCCTGGTTGGCTTGCTCTGACTTTGCCTTTCTGGCTCTAGTCCTTACTCAGGCCTTAGGTGTTCTTAAAGCAGCCTGGAGCTCTGGTTCCCCTCTATAGTCAACTCAGGGATTTGGTGCAGCTCAGCAGGAGACATAAAGAGATGCAGGTATAAGAAAGACCAGGATCAGAAATTGAATTTATATTCTCAGCATCAGGTACAATGGCTAACACACAGTTTATTCTCAGTGTTTGATGAGTGACTATTAGAAATAATTTTCAGTGTGTGTGTGTGTGTGTGTGTGTAGAGGTGAGAGAGAGAGAGAGAGAGAGAGAGAGGGAGAGAGAGAGGGGGGGGGAGAGAGAGAGAGAGAGAGAGAGAGAGAGAGAGAGAGAGAAAGAGAAATCATGGTTAGGAATGTGAAATAGGGCTGAAGCCCCAGTAAAATATTTAAATGTGGCCCTTTTTTTTGCCTGCATGGTTAATGGTCTTTGTTCTGGTTAAAGACAGAGCCATCTGCTTTTAAAAAGTGAGGTGGGATCTCTAAGTTCATTTGATAATCGATGCCTATTGGGTTCATCTCTGAGAGGCTTGAGAAGAACCACCTGCTCCTTCCCCTTCCTCCCGGTAGCTCCCCTCCAGCATGGAAAGGTGTTGGGGCCGGAAGCCGGGGCTTTGGCAGGTGCTCTATCACTGAGCTATATCCACAGCCCTAAAAAGAATGTTTATTCATCAGCTCCCACAGCCCTGTCAAGTCCATCTGCCCCTCACCCTACCTCATCTTACTGCAAAAGGGATGGGTTTTGTTTATGGGGCCAGCATCCAGCTGGACACACAGGTTTTCATTTTGTTCTAGAAATCCTAAACCTCCACTCAGAGCCTATGGTTGAAATGTCAGGGATATCCCAATAACGGGTGAAAGGCTGATAACATGGAACCAGAAATATACCCCTAGTCCTGAACACTACAAACTGGACTTTAGTGTTTTACCTAGGTGATGGACCCACCTACACCACGCCTATATAAAATGACTGGTGCCCAGCAGCTTGCCGTGTCCTGGAGAGAAGGACCTCCAGGAGCTACAAGAGACCACAGTTCACTTGGAATTCTTTGCTGGATGCACTGCCTTCAACCTCATGACAGTAGGCACCCACACCCCTGGAGGGTGCGAACCACCCCAGGCTCTTGGGCCTTAAGTCTCTGGTGAGAAACTCACCCGTGTTTATCTCCTCCTCATCATACACGTCTACCTCCAGGAGCCGGATGAGCATGCGGAAGAGGATCCTAAGGAACTGTAAATAGGAGCCAGTCTTTCCCACCTGATAGAAATATTTTTCATTGGGGAAGGGGGAAGGTGGGGAAGAGAGGGAAGGGGAAGAGAAAAGAGATTTCTTTCACACCTTGTATCAATGACTGGGGTCTGAATGAGGTCCTCACCCTCTGCTACCCCTGCCCATTCCCAAGACATCCCCTGATAGCTAAAACAGGGCTCAGCCAGGCCCGTTCCTACCTGGGGGGGGCCAGTGAGCAGCAGCCGCCGAGGATGGAAGGTCCGGACCCCCGAGCCGGGGTCTGGCTGGTTGCTGTAGTCTGCGTGGTGCTGACGGGCTGAGGTCCACTGGCGGTAGTAGAGGGACTGCTCCTCGCTGCTCATATCCTTGTGCAGGCCCGGCCTCAGGGAGCTCACCCAGGCCACATCGGCATGGGGCAGCAGGGAGGAGGAGGACGGCAGCTTGCTGCTCTTCTGGGATCCCAGGAGGCTGTAGGCAGCTTGGGATAAAATCACCACTGGGGGCAGAGTGGTGTGTAGGCCCCCACAGCCTCTGGGGGCCTGTCCTGGCCACACCAGGCTCTGGGCACCCAAGGACGATGATGAAGAAGGCTTGGAGGTGGTGCTGCTGGCCATCGGAGGGCCCAAGGAGTCACACTCCTGCTTCAGGGTCTCCCCAGCCACAGCAGTGCTGGCTGAGACCCCTTCATCTAGCCCCACACTGGTTGTGGGGCTCTGGAAGCTGGGAGTCAGGGACTGCTTCTGGGACTTGTCAGCCGTACTGGAGGAGCTCACCCCATTCTCCATGATGGAACCTGGAAGAGGACAGTGGGAACTCATCCTGTCCTCACCTCTTCCACGATGTCAAAGGCAGGAGGCAAAGGCTTGGAAGCTTTTTGGATTGCAGACCCGGTGCTAGATGCTGTGCCCCAGCCTCCACACTGCTCCAACCTGCTCCCTTGCCCATGGCTTGTGGGTGGAAGATGCCAGCAGGAAGTTGTTTCTTCCCTGGTTTCCTTCCTGCAGAGTCCCCCTGGGGTCCACCTTTCTCTCTGCTGGGGGCAGAGAAGGCTCACTAGACCCCAGCACTTTGTTACCTGTTGCTCCTTTTCTGGATCCTGCCCACATCTTGGAAGCAGTGGCTCTTAAACTATCCTTCCACCTCCTCTTTCAGTGGCAGTGGGCTTACAGGCTTCACATTCAAGTCTCCTATAATGACACTTGCCAATGGCAGACTGTGAGCCTTACACCTCTGGCTACTGTTAAGTTCCCCAGTCTGTAGCCAGTTCCTAAACCTGGTAGGGATGTCTCCACGGAAGGACAGAGGCAGACCTGCTCCAGACGGAGCTGAGTACCCCCAGAGTGTCTGCAATTTGTCGGTTAGTCGTAAGTTTTTCTCTAATAGATGGGCCTGTCTTTGGTTGAAGACAAAAGCTCCCTATACTCAGGGCTGAAGACCTTCTGTGAGCTCAGACTGGAGCTGCCAGGGTACATAGTTCCAACCTCAGATGTGGAATATCTGCCATCAACTGGCAGTTGTTAAAAACAAGCCCCTGTCTACTGCTCCTGTAACTCTGGGTCTCCCAACTGTTGAGATCAGGCTGTGTCATACTCTAAGTTACTCCATATTGTATAAAATTTTTTCAGGGTGTGCATTGTTCTAGGAGACTCTGTTTTGAGGGAAAAGGATGACTGCAGCCTCTGGGTGGACCCAGACACAGCACCATCTGTCATGCACCACACATCCAGCACAAACTGATAAATAACTTAGTCCTGGAAATAGAAAGGGTGCCACCCTATAAGTTTATCCGGTGAATGGAGACTCTAGGGATACATGGCTATATTAAAAATCATACCAGAAGCCGGGCATGGTGATGCACACCTCTAATCCCAGCACTCAGGAAGCAGAGGCAGGTAGATCTTTGTGAGTGAGGTCTGCCTGGTCTACATGGTGAGTTCTGGGCCAGCCAGTGCTATATAGTAAGACCCTGTCTCAAAACAAACTAACCAACCAAAAATTATATTAGGGAAACCATATCCAATAACTTAATCAGACATGCCAGACCAAAGAAAGGATGTAGGTAACTTCCTCATCTGGACTGCATAAAGTGATGGGTAACCTAACACTGTGGTGACCTGCCCCGGCACCAACGTATCCTGATACCTGATGTGTGTATCAAGGACCAAGACCCTGTCTGTTTCAGAAGCTTCAACTTGGCTTGGTCCCTGCTGTGGATGCAGCCTACTTAACTGTCTACTTGTTCGCACAGCTGGACCTGGGCTTGTCCTGCTGTTTCCTGATCTTGAGCCACTTCCTGCTCTTGGATTCCAGTGTGGCCTTTCACTTAGCAGTTGAATTCTACAGCTTCACTCTCAAACCTGACTCCAGCAGCTCCAATGGCAGCTCCAGCAGAAGCTCCCTCCCAGCACTGGTCTAGTTCCTTATCATATATATATATGGATTACAGAATGAATACACCTTAGAGTTTGCAGCAGAATTCAAGAGGGTTCCGAAGTGGGCTGAGAAAGAGTCTGTACTGATAAAATAGCTTACTGTGTGATGTGTGATATGAGAGTTAATGTTAGCAATTGAGATTGGAACAAAGGTAGGTGGATTATATGACAAATTGCTATCATTGAAACTGTAAAACCTTGTGAATTTATTGTTAATAAATTCTGACATTGTGGAAGGACCCAAATATGTTCATCTATGTTTCTGGCATAGTGCACTCATGATATTAGCCAGGTGGGGAGAGCCTGCCTTCTACTCACAGCTCCATCACCCTCAGAGGGAGTCCAAAGGCTGGAGTTCGAATGTTAAGTGTTGAACAGGGCCCACGGCATGGGAAAGTACCCAGCAAAAAGCGAACCATTGTACCTTTTGTGACTTGATCAGAGAAAATCAGGACAATGGAGGTGAGTGGGGCAGCTCTGCCAGAGACAGGAAAGAAGGGGTGACTGAAGAGCCCCTGAGAGGGAGACAGCCTTCCCTCCACCCCTTCACTTGTCCCTTCCTGATACCATATCCCCCATGTCCCAGATACGACATTTCCCATCCTTTCTGTTACCCTGCACTGTCCTCTGGCTTTATTCTGAGCCGGTTTTAGGAAAGTTGGGAGCAGACAGTGGTGGGGTTAATGGAAGTGAAGGGATAACAGGGTCAGCTCTGACCCTGCTGAGGGAGAGAGGCTGGATACACCTGAGAGAGAGGGCCTCATGTCCCTCTAGGCCCTGGGTCACAACGACAGGAGAGCTGACAGACAATAGCTCCTTCAGTTCCTAGGTGGAGTCATCCGACAGCTGCTGAGACTCAACAGAAGATGAATGCTGTTCTGGACATAAAACTGCGTGCATGCTCGTGTGTATATGTTAGAGTGATGAACTGATCTCAAGAATGATTCAGCAGAGGAGAGGGTGCGGGATACATGGTTACCTTTGGTAGGGAATGCCTCCCTTTAATCTCCTTGCTCTTTGGTCCATTCTCTGAGTTTTCTGCATTAAGCTTCATTACTTTCTGAATTGGAAAAATCTGGAAATAGGGCTGCATTTGCTATATTACAGTTTACCAAGAGGAAATTCACACCAGACTCTGCTGTAAGACATGCTGCTGTAAGAGGAGAGCCCCCCAGGCTGCCTGCAGTCAACTGGTGGCCCAGAGAGGCCTGCAGTGTACAGACACTTGCCATTAAGTACTTAGGATAGTCATCTATCCATCCATTGATTCATATAACCATTTGTGCCAGGTAAAAAGCCACCTAACAAACTTACAGCTTCAGTCTCTAGATTAAAAACAGGGTAATCTGAGCTTTGGGGTAACTGCGAGGAGACAAGTCGGGGAAGTACAAGCTCTGCCTTCCACACACCTTCCTACCTCTACGGAGAGAGTACTGACCAGAGGTTCCTGTGACAGCGCTGCTGTTGCTCTGTGGCCGCTCCAGGTCAATGAGCAGCTCCTCGGAGTCATTCTCACTGGCAGGGACCCTCTCAGTCTCCTTCCCACTGAGGTCCAGGGCGGCAGCAGGCCCCCGGATGACCTCTTTTGAGACATAGCAGCATGCCAGGCCCACCTCCTGCTCCAAGGCCGTACGAGTTAAATAGCTTGAGTCGATTAACCGTAGGTCACAGTACTTTAAGGACCTGCATAGAAATAACTACATTGGTGGCATGTCCCTCTGGGTGGGCACAAAATATTTAAGTATGCCTGAAGGTCCTGTGGCTCATGAGACAGTGTAGACCACAGGCTCAAGTGCTGGCTAAGTCTGGTTTAAACCTCAGTTCTGACACCTCCTAGCTATTTATCTCTGAGCTTCATAGAGGGCTGGAGCTGTTCAATGGAAGAACACTTGCCTAGCATATATGAGGCCTGGGTTCCAGCTTCAACACCATAAAAAGAAGAAGGCTAAGTAGAGAGGAGAACAGGGCTGGCAATGTAAGGAAAGAGGCCTGCTACATGGTAGGCATCTTAGGGTGTGGCCTAACACAAACAGTTAACATTCAGTTGATGTTTTTATAGTCATTATTTTCTAATCTGTAGCCCCTAAGTCCCCAAGGGAGTTTGGAACATCAGATTAACATCTATCTGTCTGTCTGTCCGTCCGTCCATCTATCCATCCATCCTGCCTTTCCTCTCAGCCTCACTGACTGCCTTGCTCTAAGACACAACCAGAGCCCCCAGTGGGGCTCCGTCCCATTCCCAGAACTTTTGAGTGCTCTCTGGAAACTGGAGTGAACGACGGCTCTATTTCTTTTGCCCCTGCATGAAACGGTTACCTGCCAGACAACCAAAATGGATGTCCATCAACCAAGCATCCCTTCAGCTGGGGAGCTGGGGAGAAGCAGTGCCAGTCACTCACACTGTACCTGGGGAAGGTTTCTCCAAGAGGGTCTTTGCCTGTTAGTATCACTATACAAGGCAGACCATCTAAGTCTTGATATGTCCGGGGGATCCACTCTTCCTGCTCATTTCCTCTCCAAGTCTGTAGAAGAGACATATAAAAAAATAATTAAAACCCTGTAACTCCTTATTCAACTTTACACCTATTTAAAGGTTTCTGGACACAGATTTCAGGCACATTAATTTTCCTAATAATTTCCACGAAGTGTGTGGAAGTATATAATATATTCTTTTAATATATTCTTTTGTTGTTTCTTTGAGAGACAGTTTCATGTAGCCAATGCCAGCCTCAAACCTCCTATGTAGCTGAAAATGACTTTGAACTCCTTCTTAAGTGCTGGGATTACAGGCATGTGCTGCCATGCTGGCTCTATATTTGGAAACTTTAATTGCTATCTTAAAAGCACACACAATGCACTTCCATCAGAGTGGAGCTTTAGTTTTCAGCTCTGTCTCATGCCAGAGAAACATCACTGGCCAGAGAAATACAATGTAGAACATCCTACCAATGATGTAATATGCATACATCTTGGCTATACTACCTGACTCGGGCACTGACATGTATTTTTTTATACAATGCACCAACTCTTGGAATTGGTTGACTGACAAAGACAGTTCCAGTTCTGAATGTCTAGACAGAATCTCAAAACTGATCTAAAACAATTTAGTGAAGTTAGCTACCTCTGATTGCTATTTTTTAACTTTCTCACCTTATTGACTTTAAAAACTCGCAAGGAGTTGGGCCTGGTGTTGCAAGCCTGTAATCCCTACTCAGGGGGCTGAGGGAGAAGATCTCAAATTCAAAACCAGCTTAGGCATCTTAGTAAGATGATACATCAAAATAAAAAGTAGAAAGGGAGCCAGGCGTGGTGGTGCACACCTTTAATCCCAGCACTCGGGAGGCAGAGGCAGGCGGATCTCTGTGAGTTCAAGGCCAGCCTGGTCTACACAGTGAGTTCCAGGACAGCTGGGGCTACAGGGAGACCCTGTCTCAAAAGACCAAAAGGAAAAAAAAAGTAGAAAGGAGACTGGGGATATAGCTCGGTGAAGGAACACTTGCCCACCACACCCAACGCTTTAGGTTCAATACCCCACCAAACCTGACAAGTAATTATTGGCTTGGGGCCTCCAAAGAATGCGTTGGAAGACTGACCAAGCTAGATGAAAAGGAAAAAACCAATTGCCTTTAATAAAGTTTGTTCATGGTTTCACAAAGTATCTATTAAGCACCAATTTTTCATATATTATCACAAATATACATCCACATAGTATCTTTAATGAATGAAACATCACTTTTGAAAACATGACCATATCATAAAAGAGAAAAAAAATCCCATCAATTTTAAAGATGTTCAAAAATAAAGAGATTTTATAGTTTTGCTTTGTTTTTGGTTGAGATAGTCTCATGTATCTCAGGGCCGGCCTTGAGCTTGCTGTATATTTGAGGGTGAACTTGAACTTCTGATCCTCCGGCCTCTATCTCTCAAGGGTTGAGATTACAGTTATGTGCCACCAAGCCTGGTTTCATGCAGTGTTGGGGATCATATAGGGGCTTCATACATGCTGGATAAGTGTTCTGATAGCTGAGCTGCATCCTCAGTGCCCAGACTTTTCCATTTCAGAACAGAAAGAAAACAGGCCAACTCAAATAGTAAGGTATTTTTTTTTATTATTACCTATTTAGGATGTAACTATATATTAGCTTTCTAGCAGGAGTTAACTAACATTTCTGACAATGCTTTGGGGGGAACGAACACTGAGAACTAAGGTATTAAGCAATACACACAATTTTATTTTCAAATAGAATGGTATTTCTTTTGCTAGGGCCAAAATGTGTTGAACTCTATCAGGCAAGAGGTAATTTAATAGGGTTTGATTAATGACTTGTTGGCGTGTAGAAACATGTAATGAGAGCTCCTGGATCCCAGTGCTCAGGAGGCTAATACAGAAAGATCGTGAGCTCAAAGCCATCCTGGACTGCATAGTGAGACCCTGTCAAAAGAAGGGAAGACGAGAGGGAAAACGATGAAGAAGAACAGTACATAAAAATACACATATCCCCAAGAGGACCCTAACTATTCTCTACAAATTTCTTGATTTATTTATTTTTACTTTATATGTATGAGTGTTTTGCCTGCATATATTTAAGTGCATTGTGTGCATGCAGTGCCTGTGGAGGCCAACAGAGGGCATCAGATCTTCTGGAACTGGAGTTACAAACAGCTCTTAGCTGTCTATTTTATGTGGTGTTGGGAAATGAATCTAGGTCCTCTTCAAGAACAGTCAGTGCTGTTAACCACTGAGCCATTACTCCAGCCCCAACCCTAACTATTCTTACGCCTTTACTTATTATCCTATTTTTTATTTTCTCTATGTACACACAGACACACAGATGCACACACCCCATAACTGTTCACAGATTTGAGAGACTTTTTATGCCTTTGAAAAAAAATAGCCTTCCAGAAAGATTTTTCAAAAATACATTCTCACAGGCTAGTGATGCAGCTTGCTTCATAGAATGGTTGCTTAGCATGCACAAAGCCCTGGGCTTGATCCCAGGACCTTGGAAGCTGGGCATGGTGGTATATACCTGTAATTGTAGAACTTGGGAGGTAGAGGAAGGAGGGTAAGAAATTTGAGGTCACCCTCAGCTGTGTAGTGAGTTTGAGGCCAGCTTGAGCTACATGAGAACTTGTCTCAAAACAAACACTTCAAAAAAACTTTCGGTTTCCCATACCACTGCATGCTAAAGAGAACCATAATGGTATTGCAATACACACAGTCCTGGAACGTGAATCATGTTATTTTGGATTTATGCTTTTCCTGACAATGGGAGTTTCTTTGAATACAATAATAGCATAATAGGATGCTTTCCAAAAATGAGAGTTTCAGAAGATTATCAAACACAGCTCACTTTATTTACTCTTGGCCAGTAAGAATTAGCCATGTAGCTACACATGCTTTCCCATATTTCTACTTGTGATGGATGACAGTGACAGTTCTTCCATGAATCCCTCATGGCATCATAATGATTTTACCCTGGAGGCAATTAATCCAATGCAAAAGACTGGGCAGGAATTGAATTCTGGGTTAATCCTGGCCTCAAGACCAAAGCAATCTTATGAAGTCTTCACAGGCTTGTTAGACAAACTATTTGGGTTAAATTTTTATCTGTCCAAGGTATTCGTCATTGCTTGCCAATTCACAATACAAAACAGGATAATATGGGATAAGCACAAAAATGAAGCACTGTTGGGTTTTACCTAAGACCAAAGACAAAAGGTGGACCCGTGCTTCTGAGAATGGTAAAGGAGGTAAGTTAGAATCCACCCAGTAAGACACAGTCTTGCTTAGATGTGAACATACCAAGAGGACTTCATATTTTCACCCTTATATAGAGAGTATAAAAAGGGATACACTGATGTGATCCAGAGGTTCTGAGAATCTGGGATTCTCCTCTGTGGCTGGCAACTACTCATACAAATTAAGAGAGCTATCAGTACTTTGAGAGGTAATTACTTGGGACACCCTTCACATATGTACATGCTCATAACAGTGGTCGTCACCTGGGCTGCCCAGCCCCAAAGCCCCCTGAAGCACTGCTGGCGATCCTGATATGCTCATAGACAAGAGATGGATGTCAAGCTTCATTGTGGTTTCTAAACAGTGGCCCATAGGGACAAGTATTTACAACCCACTGATGTATATTGATCTGCTAATTAGCCCTTTTAAACAAATGGCAGGCAACTCTGTCAAGAGCTAGTAATCAGAGTTAGTGGAGACCCAGAGAAGATACTACAGACCCAGTGTCTCCGGTAACAGCTTTGTGATTCCCCAGAGTGCTGCTGATTTTCTGTCTCCTCAAGTTCATCATTAATTAGTATTTTCAAACTGCCTCAAGCCCAAGTCTCAATGAGTTGTACTGTGAAGAGAGCGTCACACTGTGAGAAAGGCTTCACACTGTCAGGAGGATTTCACACTGTCAGGAGGGCTTCACACTGTCAGGAGGATTTCACACTGTAAGGAGGGCTTCATACTGTGAGGAGAGCTTCACACAATGAGGAGGGTTTCATACTGTGAGGAAGGTTTCACGCTGTGAGGAGGATTTCACACTGTGAGGAGGGCTTCACACTGTGAGGAGGGCTTCATACTGTGAGGAGGATTTCATACTGTGAGGAAGGTTTCACACAGTGAGGAGAGCTTCACACTGAGAGGAGGGTTTCATACTGTGAGGAGGGCTTCACACTGAGAGGAAGGTTTCACACTGTGAGGAGGGCTTCACACTGAGGAGGGCTTCACACAGTGAGGAGAGCTTCACACTGAGAGGAGGGTTTCACACTGTGAGGAAGGTTTCACGCTGTGAGGAGGATTTCACACTGTGAGGAGGGCTTCACACTGTGAGGAGGGCTTCATACTGTGAGGAGGACTTCATACTGTGAGGAAGGTTTCACACTGTGAGGAGGGCTTCACACTGAGGAGGGCTTCACACAGTGAGGAGAGCTTCACACTGAGAGGAGGGTTTTAGGAGTGTTCTTTCTCATTCCAGGGATTTTCTATACTGTGGCCTTTGACCATAATTTTATTTATTTATTTCTACATTATACAAACCTTAATCACATATACGTACTCACAAGAAACTCAAGGCAGAGAACTTGCCAACTTTAAATAACATTTAGACAACAGAAGTCACACCAGCAAAAAGGAAAACAGCGTATTTCTCAACCAACTTTGACAGACTGCATTCTCTCCCTCTAACTCTCCCAAAGGGAAAGAAGAATGATCACCAGTGACAAATGACAGTTGCATTAAAGCAACATCAAGAGCCAGCTTCACACTTAAGAGAGAACACTGTGTCTCCTTCACCACACATTCTGAGAAAATTTTTTCTAGTAATGAACTACAGAAATGAACTCCGAGCCAGGAGTTGTGGCACAAGACTCAAGAGGTAGAGGTAGGCAGATCTCTGTGGGTTTGAGGCCAGCCTGATCTACAGAGAGTTCTGGGCCAGTCAGGCTACAAGGTAAGACCCTGCCCTGCTCCCCCCCCAAAAAGAAAAAAATAGAAATAATTTTAGGAAGTATAGTCTTTGACCATACTTTTAAATTGTAAACATATATCTATACCTGAAACATACATGTTATAACTGCTACTACTACAAATAATAGTTTCTATTTGGGGATAATTTTATTTGTTCTCATTGCTTATCAAATATTTTAGACTTCAAATTAGGTTAGCTAATACAATAGGAAGGTTAACATTTGCAAAATTATTTATGAATAGTAAATAGAAATCTCCAAAGTAGAGCTTGTAGAAACTACATGGTTTAACTCCTGCATTTTGCAGATGGGAAAGTACAGCTCAGGGTGACAATTCAAATTTGCCCAAGACCATGCATTTTTTCATTTCACCAAGTCTATGCCAAACTAGATTATTCTTAATTCAATTTAATTTGGGATTTTGTGTGCACAGTGCAGATACCATGTTAGTCTAACTCAGACATAGAGTAGTTCGATCATAGGTATCTGAGTGAATGCTTTTTAATGGCTGGGAGAAGTTAGATTATAAATCCTCAGGAAAAGCCTGGGTCAGGCATATGGCAGGAAGTTAGGTTAGTTGATTCATGCCTGACAGGGGGTGTAGGGGACGGGCAGTCAATTCCTGACCGTGCAGAGGGAGCAGTAAGGGGCTAGGTCGTGCACTAAATCCCTATGTAGGACACTTGGTTATATCAGTCCAGCCAAAGCCTGGGGGCTGAGGGGCAAAGCAATACAAACAAGTTGTTGAGAAATCCACATGCAAGAGCTTCTTCTAAAAAACTCTATATGAATACTAAGATGAAACAGAATACTTTCCCGACTAGCCACCAGCTCACAGAAGGGCTAGATGGACAGAAAAGAAGTAGTGAGTTGAGAAGACTTAAAGTGTACCCCAGAGAGGTCTGAGAGAACAGCTTACCTTTCTCCTGAGGAAACAGATGGCCATGGGCTAGATGCATCTCCAGCAAGGTCAAGAAACATGGGGTCAAATTAGTCATCTCATGTTTTGCACCTGCAGTTGGAGAGCATGGAGACCAACTGCATGCACACGGCAAGGGGGCTTGATGGGATCTCTAGCAACTGGTTCCAATTAAGAAAACAAGTATATCCTGTAGTTTAGCCTGAACATTGTCATGGAGATCAAATTCACACATGCACAAAAATCTATTAAACTCAGGCATCTGGGTCACCCAGATAGGAGTCCTTAGGAAACAGAAACAAATGGTATTCCTGTCCATTGCTAACCTTTAATCGTGCCACAAAGTGAGTTGCAACACTGAGTTCAGAGGCTGGGTTCCCCAGGATGATCTCAAAGCGATACTGCAGACCCAGTTTGTCGCGCACCTCCTGTAGCTGCTCCTTGGCCAACATCGCCAGCTGTACTGATGGCACCCTGATGATGAGCATGTGTCCCCTCCCACTTTTGTTTTTTCCTGGGGAACTGATGAGGTCATCCATAATGCTGAGAGTTTCTGGTGTGCTGTGGTCTCGGAGCGATGCCATGGTAGTGAGAGCCATTAGGGCCTCTGAGTACTGCTGGATGAGAAGGTAGCAACGGACGACCATGCTATGCAGCCGGGGGTACCTGCAACAGAACACAGGGAGCTAGCACTCAGCAAAGGGCCAGCTGGAGCAGCAAGGCATGCACAGTGAAATGTAGATAGTGGGGAAGGGGCTACAGAACAGAATGATCTAGGATCTTACATCACTAGAAGTAGCTGAGCTTCCAAAGCAGGTACAAACATACTGGGAGAGGCAAAGCAAATTAGAGGATAATCTAGGGGCCCTGCCTTCTCAAAGTCTGATCTACAGACCAGTAGCAACACCTCCCACCCCAGATTTACTCAATCAAGACCTGCAGCTGAACCAGACCCACAGGTGATTCAGATGCTCATTAAGTACTGAGACACACTGGTTCGTATAGGTTAATTGTGGACAGAGTCATAATGGATAATCCCTGGGTCTTAACCTCTTGCTGCTGGCATGGGGTGTTGTCAACTTAGTTCTTAGATTTAATTACAATAAAGGGAACTGAAGTATTACTGTTGTTATCTTTGGAATATCAGACTAGCCAGGTGTGGTAGTGCACATCTTTAACTCTAGCACTTGGAAGCCAGAGGCAAGAGGGTAAGTTTGAGCCCAGACTGGGTTACATAGCAAGTTCGAGGCCAACCTGGGCTACATAGTGAGCTACTGTCTCAATAAAAACAAAGAACAGCAAAAAAAAAAAAATCCCAACACATTAATTATTGCTAATTTGAGGTCAGCTTCAGCAAGACAGCAGTAACTGTTATCTTTCCATAAAGTATGAGTTGGTGCAGGAGACAATTGGAACTGACTGGAAAAAGAGCATCCCCTGGTGGTGTAGCTTCTTGTTACCAGAGACTGCTCGGGCAAGGGAGCAAATCTGAGCTGGGGAATAGCACCCTTAGTACCTTCTCCCCCTGCCTAGACTGCCACGTGAGAGTCACACTGGTCACATGGGCACTTCTTACAGTTACAGCGTGGGCAGAAAATAAGTTTTGCATTAAGCACTTTTCCTCAGGAAGCCAGACCCGATAACAAGGTAGGAACAAAAGGGCAGAGGCCCCACTGGCAGCACGGGGCATGCTGGTCCAGAAGGTTGGGCTAGCAAGGCAGAATTTCACCCAGAGTTGGCTGAGAGAGCCTGGCATGGTGCAGGCTGAGAGAGCCTGGGCCCTTTAGTTCTGGCCACCAGCTGGTAGCTCATGTGCTGCTTGGCAGCTGGGTAGGCTAATGGGGGAGCTTACCTTTGTCCCACTTTATAATCCTCTTTAAAATTTAACAAGTGCTCACAGAAAATCCCAGGGTCAAATACCTTGGGTCATCAAACAAGTAACATAGTTTTGAAGAACTGAAGAGAGGAAAGTACCAAAGGTGCCCTGTATTCTACCCACTCTCCTCTTCATAGGAGAACAAGTTTGGGGGCGAGAGAAATTCAGGTGCTTGTTCCAGACTGTACAACTGTCCGGAGACCCAGCTAGATCTGGGTTTTATTCAGGTTTCTGGCAACACCTTCGCACACTGCAAGGTTTTAGTAGGTTGGGGAAAACTGCAGAAAGCCTCAGTATGGCCAATCTTGGGCTAGTCCCTTCAGCTGTTCAGTAAATCATAGCTAGTATTAGCCTGGGCAGACTGCTCTAGGGGAAGAAACCATAGATGACCTCTATTTAAAGCTTAGGATTATTTAGCTGGGCCAAGTAAAGAAGCTAAAGTTAGATATTTGCATTTGACACTGACAGAATTAGGTTTTAAAAGTGAAGTTTTGCCGGCGTGGTGGCGCACACCTTTAATCCCAGCACTTGGGAGGCAGAGGCAGGCGGATCTTTGTGAGTTCAAGGCCAGCCTAGTCTACATAGTGAGTTCCGGTCAGCTGGGACTACAGGGAGACCCTGTCTCAAAAAGACACACACACACACAAAAAAAAGGTGAAGTTTCACCGGGCATGGTAGCTGTACTGAATGTATTAGGAAATTAGGAATAAATTAAGATGGATATTGAGTGACTTTGAAATGAAACTAGAAACTAGGAACTTCTCGGCTTCTCAGGCTCACTTATCACTAACACATTTTGGCTGGAGTCCTTCTGACTTACATCAGTAACTTCAGCTGTTTCTTGAGATATGGCTTCTCCCATTGATTACTTATCTATCACACACAGGCGTTCAAGCTACTTAGTTTCGACTCTCAAGTCCACCCATCTGCTCCACACAGTTTCACATAGTTTCTGTGTGAAGTGATAAGTGAGCCTGAGAAGCCGAGAAGTTCCTAGTTTCTAGTTTCATTTCAAAGTCACTCTTAATATCCATCTTAATTTATTCCTAATTTCCTAATACATTCAGTACAGTAGCCCACACCTTTAGTCCCAGCACTCGGAAGGCAAAGGCAGGCGAATCTTGTGAGTTTGAGGCCACAGCCTGGTCTATATAGTGAGTTCCAGGCCAGCTGGGGCTACACAGAGACCTTAAAAAAAAAAAAAAAAAAAAAAAAAAAAAAAAGTGAAGTTTCCAGGCTGCAGAGATTGCTCTGCTGTTAAGAGCACTGGCTGCTCTTCTAGAGGACCCGAGTTCAATTCTCAGCATCCACATGGTGGCTAACAACCATCTATAACTCCAGTTCTAGGGGATGTGATGCCCTCTTCTGGCCTCCATGGGCTTTGCATTACACAGGTGCACTTACATATATACAGGCAAAACACTTGTACACATAAAATAAAAATAAATAAATCCAAAAAAGTGAAAATGAAGTTTCCCCAGTCTGTCTGTATTAAGCTGTGGTTTTAGTTTTGTATTACAAAGTCTGTAATAAAAGTTGATGGGACTCCTTTAAAATACAAGTTGTGTAACTCTGATGGTACTGGGATGAAGGGTATATTCCAAGCTGGAGGGTGAAATTGGGTGGGAAATTTTAAAAGGGGTGTCTCATGGATGATAGTGGAAATTTGGGATCAAATTAACAGATTAATGGTACAGTAACTGTTCAGACTTCTGAGATCCAACAGCTGTGAAAATACGAACTCCGGCTCTGAGGCTGCTCCTTTTCCTACTGCAGCTGTGTCTTACTAGATAGGATGCATCCACTTGTCTTCATTAAAAAAAATTCTCACAACTGTAGGGCAGCTTGGTAAAGGATTGACTTCTGATCAATTAGGGCCAATTTAAAGCAGCTAGACCTTCTAAAAGGCCTAACATGTTACACTGCCTTGTCTTAGATGGTCAAACAGAATACTGGGGCAAAGGGTAAGGGGGACTATTCCCACCCTTTGAGTCTCTGAGTCAGGCTTAGAGAAGAAAACACTCTTTGAGAGTTTGACCTGGAACTGAGAAATGAAAGGAAGGCCAGCATGGTAGAATTATCCTTAAAACAGGAGAATTAAGACCCCTAATCTGGAGGGTCAGGGTGAGAGGAGGGCTCCAAGGGTAGATCATGCTTAATGTTTATTGTTCCTCAACTTTCTTCAGGATATCCAGCACAGTTTTCATAGTAAAGTTCAATTTTTAAATTTAATTTTATTTATTATTTTTATTTTATGTGTATGAGTGTATTGCCTGCATGTATGTGAGTGCACCCGTGTCGTGCAGTGCCGCAGAGGTCAGAAGAGGGCTTCAGATTCCCCTGGAACTGGAGTTAAGGATGGTTCATAGCTGCCATGTGGGTGCTGGGAATCGAACCCGGGTTCTCTGCAAGAGCAATCAGTGCTCTTAACCGCTGAGCCATCTCTCCAGCCCTGTAAAGTTCAATTTTTAAAGAGTCATCCAAGGATATCTGCTTGCAGTGAACAGAGGCAGAAAGAAGAAGACTGTGTACAAACCTGAGGTGTACTGCTGGGAGACAGGCCAGAGCTCAGAGGAGTGGCCCTTAAGGGACAGATCCCCCTCTGCAGTGAAGCCTCACCAGGACACAACTCAGTGGTGCTGTGCTCTACCATAGGTGACTGCGTTTGCTCATCTTGGCTGGTCACATAAACCCATGGGAGTAGAAGGTCATCTTAGGAGAGACTATTTTTATTTGGTCTTTCCATGTCATCTGCACAGGCTCCATCAAACTCACTATGACTTAGCCAAAAAGGCATTTGGCTGTTTTAGACATGCAAGTACAGCAAAAGCAAAGGGCAGAAGTCCTTACCTCTCCAAGAGTGTGTTCACCATCTTCTCAAAGGCCTCATCACATCTCAGAAGTGGACTGGTGATCCCCCACTGCAGAGATTTGCTGTACTCATTCAAGCCAAAGTACAGCTTTTCGCAGCCCACATCCTCCTGATTGAAAAGCAGAGCAGAATCCAGTGAGGACAGGATGCCAGGATATGTACCTGTGTATATGTGTGTGTGTGTGTGTGTGTGTGTGTGTGTGTGTGTCCATGCACTCTATAAGTGGTATTTTCTGTTTTGCTGTGTGAGAGGACACAAACTCTGCAATTACTTCTTTGCACTTCTATTGAACTGAGTATATGCTTAATGGTATGTTGACCCTTTGCCTTTAGGCAAATGTATTTACATAGGGGTTTGTTTTCCTTTTGTACAGATACACAAGGTCAGATGGCTTCTTTTCCTTCTGGGAACAGTTCTCTTTCCTGATGTGTCCATAAAGCTAGGAGAGAAACTAAAGAACTACACCACAAATACTTAAATGTTTGGGGCATCATTTAATGATAATAACTCCTTTTACAAATAAAACACTCTTAAAACGGAGTATAGGCTTTCTGAATTCTTAGAATACACAGCATTAATTCTTCTCTCTTCTTGCTGACTCAGTCATCACTATAAAAATGAGAAACTATTTTTGGATGTGGCACAAGGATGCCCTTAGAGGATCCTGGGATGTATGACAAGCTGCTGTCCTTCAACTCAGATGCTCAGAACAAGTTTTGGGACTTCACAGACCTGTTCTTTTTGTCTATGCTTTTCTTTCAAGTACAGCTTTTCGCAGCCCACATCCTCCTGATTGAAAAGCAGAGCAGAATCCAGTGAGGACAGGATCTCTCTGTAGCCCCAGCTGGCCTGGAACTCGCTATGTAGACCAGGCTGGCCTTAATTCACAGAAATCTACCTGCCTCTGACTCCTAAGTGCTGGTACTAAAGGTGTGCACCACCATGCCTGGCTCTACATTGTTTTTACAGTCATTTTTCCTCATGTCTGTGCATTTTAGTGTCATCTTTATTTATTATTAATTGAAAATTTTCTTTAAGAATTCTCTAATTTATTTTATAAGGTAAACAAGGCATCTTTTAAAAGCATAATATAAAAATAATCAGAGGAAGAAAATTCAAGGGAAATAGAAATAAGACTGGGCCAAGGATACATTTAGTACCCTTGAAAATGAATGGCAGAAGTTTCTGCACAATTTGCTAGCAAATACTGAGCTTTTCTTTCTCTTTTTGTTAGATAAGGTAGCCCAGGCTGGCCTTTAACTCTATGTGTAGCTGAGGATGACCTTGAACTTCTGATCCTCCTGCCTCCACCTTACAAGTGCTGGCATCACAACTATTTACCACTATGCTGCTTTTTATGCAGTTCTAGGAATAAAATCCTGTGCTTCATGCATGCTAGGCAGGCATTCTACCAACTCAACTACATCCCCAGCCCTTGCGTCTTTAAAATAACCTAGCTTAGGTGCTGAAGAGATGGCTGGGAGATCCAACACCCTCTTCTGGTCTCCATGGGCACATGCACATACTAACACACACACACATACACATAAATTTTTTTAAAATCTTAATAAATATGCTGGGTAAGGTGGCACACACCTTTAATCACAGCACTTGGGAAGGGGCAGGTGGATCTCTGTGAGTTTGAAGTCATCCTGGTCTACACAGCAAATTCTAGCCCAGTCAAGGGCTATATACTGAGACCCTATCTAAGGGCACATGCACATACTAACACACACACACATACACATAAATTTTTTTAAAATCTTAATAAATATGCTGGGTAAGGTGGCACACACCTTTAATCACAGCACTTGGGAAGGGGCAGGTGGATCTCTGTGAGTTTGAAGTCATCCTGGTCTACACAGCAAATTCTAGCCCAGTCAAGGGCTATATACTGAGACCCTATCTAAAAAAGAAACACACACACACACACACACACACACACACACACAGAGCACTATTTAATTGGAAGTTTTACATTTTTTCAGATCCCTTCTCTCCAAGTCAGTTGATCCTGCATAGATTAAACGGCATCTGTTGCAAAGGTTTTGAAACCTTTGCTCATTTCCTTCCCTGGTGGACCTATATGTTGTGCTGGTCACTTCAGGAGAAAAAAAATACCCATGTCCATGTCTCGCTCCATCTGGACTGTGGTCCCACAGTTCCTTGCAAAAGCTTTATCTTGTGTGTACTTGGTCTCCATAGTTCCTTCCTATCCTTGGCCTATGTTTCTTTAAAAAATTTATTTAATAAGCCGGGTGTGGTGGCGCACGCCTTTAATCCCAGCATTCGGGAGGTGGGGGCAGGCGGATCTCTGTGAGTTCAAGGCCAGCTTGGTCTACATAGTGACTCTTTTAAATCTATGAGTGTTTTTCCCTCATGTATGTAAGAATACCTGTGTTGTGAAATGCATGTAGAGGCCAGAAGAGAGCATTGGATCCCCTAAAACTGGAGTTATAGATGGTTGTTAGCCACCATGTGGGTGGTGGGAACAGAAACCGGGTCCTCTGCAAGAGTAGCTAGTACTCTTAAGTGCTCTGTTAATCTCTCCACCTCTGGCCTCAATTTCCTTGATGGAAAAAAAAAATCAGGCTGGAGAGATGGATTAGTAGTTGAGTGTGCTTGGTGCTCTTGCAGAAGACCCAAGTTCAATTCCCAGCACCCATGTTGGGTGGCTCACAACCACCTGTATCTCCAGCTACAGGGGATCTGATACTGTCTTCTGACAGCTCCAGGTGCCTACACACACACACACACACACACACACACACACACACACACACTTAAAAATAATAAAAAATAAATCTTTAAAAAGAAAAATGAAAAAGAGAAAATCAGGGCTAATGAGATGGTTCAGTGAACTAAGGCTAAGCCTGAGGACCCGAGTTTGATCCCTGGAATGCACACGGTGGGAGAAAACAGACTCCACAAGTAGTCCTCTGACCTGCACACTCATACACATGCAAATAAATAAGTAAATTTGAGAACATCAAATCGTACTCCACATCTGCTCCTTTTCCTGACACCCATTAGAACCTGCTAGGTACGATGTTTCTGCCTGTCCTTATTTTCACTTCTTTTCCTTCTCAGAAAAATTGTAGAAGATTGATAAATGATATGCTCTTGGAGCCAGGATGGGTTTTGAGAACGAGTGCAACTGAAAATTAGAGAGAATAGGTTCCCCAGCCTGCTGTCTGCATTAAAGTGTAATGTCACTAAAGCAGCAATAGATGCAAATGTGACATTCTCTAAGAAGTAAGAGGAAATTCAGAATGACTTTATTGTAGACATATTCGAAGCACGTGATTTACTGAATCACAATTTTTTCTCATTAAAATACAAGCCAAGCTCCCTCTCCCAGGTCCTGCCCTCTTGGTGACCCTGAACCTGCTATCTCTGCCCTTGAGTCATCCCTGACTTTCCTCCAGCCAACCGCTTTGCATTCCTGTTGCTGGATGGTCACCAAGGACTCCTGAGGCCAAACCCTGAGGCATGTACTTGCCAGTCCTTGGCTGGCTTATTCTCTCAGCTGTTTTCTACATTATTTTCCTCCATGATTTAATCATCACCAGTTGTTTATTTTATTTTTGGTCTTTTGGAGACAGGGACTCCCTGTAGTCCCAGCTGGTCTGGAACTTGCTATGTAGACCAGGCTGGCTTTGAACGCACAGAGATCTGCCTGCCTCTGCCTCCTGAGTGTTGGGATTAAAGACACACACCAGCATGTCCGGCCTTAGGGCTGATTTTTATTTTATTATTTATTATATTTTTAGATGGAATCTGGTCTTAAGCAATCCTCCCACCTTAGTTTCCCAAGTAGCTGGTTCTGAAGGCATGTGCTACCATACCTGACTATAGGGATGATTTTTTAAACTTAAATTAAAAAAAAACTTTATTATTATTCTGCGAATATATTATATGCATATGAGTATGCTGTATGCATGAGGTGCTGTGAGCATGTGTATGCCATGGAGTGCATGGACAGATTTGTGGAGTTGGTTCTTTCTTTTCAGCTTTATGTGGGATCCAGGGTCAAACTCGGGTTGTCAGGCTCCTGCAGCCAGTGACTTTACCTGCTGAGTCAGCTTGCCAGCCTGAATTTTTTTTTTTTTTTTTTTCTTTTTGAGACAGGGTCTCCCTGTAGCTCCAGCTGTCCTGGAACTCACTATGTAGACCAGGCTGGCCATGAACTCACAGAGATCCACCTGCCTCTGCCTCCCAAGTGCTGGGTTTAAAGGTGTGCGCCACCATGCCCGGCTTACCAGCCTGATTTTTTAAGCTTTTAATTATAAAAGAAATAACAACTCCTTCCCTCAATTAATTTGAATAAATATCCAGAATCATATCTTTAATTCATAAGCACTTCACTAGACAGCTCTAACCCTTTTTAAAAAATATGAGCAGGGACCACTGTGGAAGAGGCGGCAGAAAGATTGTAAGACCCAGGGCTGGTTCATGAACACAGGGAAGTGGAGGCTTCCAGGCTACTGGAGACTTGCTCATGTGAGCGTGTGGCAGCGGTGGTGTTGAGCAGGGGACCCATGTCAGCTCAATTAAACAAGGGCCCAAGGGGGATGTGAGAAATAGGTGGCGGGCCAGCTCTAGACTGAGAACTATTTGAGACTGGTTGCTACTAGGTGAGGGAGAGTATGACTTACATATGACCACTGGATGGGCTGACTAGACTCCAGTGGATGCATATACACTGAAGGACATTTGGGTACAAACACCCGAATTAATAGGACTCAGTATGTATGGCAGAGTGAATAGGGTTCAGTGGGGGGATGGGGGTAGGCATGGAAGGGGGAGAGGGTCTAGATTTGAGTGGGAAATTTAAAAAGCTCAATAAAAAAGGTTATCTATAAAAAATATGAGCCCAGGCCGGGCATGGTAGCGCACGCCTTTAGTCCCAGCACTTGGGAGGCAAAGGCAGGTGGATCTTTGTGAGTTCAAGGCCAGCCTGGTCTACATAGTAAGTTCAGGTCAGCTGGAACTACAGAGAGACCCTGTCTCAAAAAGACAAAAAGGAGCCTAATATCATTATTATACTTAAAAAATTCACCATAACCACAGAAATGACATCAGGAAAACTATGCCTGCTTATCATTTCACATCAGGAGTCAGCTAATGGCAGCAGGAACAAGCCCTTCTTTCCGTCATGGGGGTGATCCCTTCAGGAAAAGCCTGAACCAACAAGGCAGGTTAGGGGTTTTCCCTGTGCACCAATAATAGTAAAGGGCCACATATAACAGGAGAACTGTTTTGTGGGAGGTGCCAGTGGGGATGGGGGTATAAAGATGATTGAGAGTTTTCAAGCTGTTCTGTATGAAATACACTGAAAATTTGATAAAATCTTTATTAAAATAAAAAAAAATAAATTTAGGGGCTGGAGAGATGGCTCCGTGGTTAAGAGCACTGGCTGCTCTTCTAAAGAGGATCCAGGTTTGGTTCCTAGCACACACATGGTGGCTAACAATTGTCCATAACTCCAGTTCCAGGGAATCCAATGCCCTCTTCTGACCTCCGCAGGCATTGCACCACATTGGTGTATTTACGCACATGCAGGCAATATACTCATACCCGTAAGATAAAAATAATAAAACAAGCTGGGCGTGGTGGCGCATGCCTTTAATCCCAGCACTTGGGAGGCAGAGGCAGGCGGATCTCTGTGAGTTCAAGACCAGCCTGGTCTACATAGTGAGTTCCATGCCAGCTGGGGCTACAGGGAGACCCTGTCTCAAAAAGACCAAAAAAAATATTTATAATAATAACAAAACAAAATATTAACAAAATAAGCTTAAAATGTGTATATTTGAGACAGAGTCTCACTATGCAGCTCTGACTGACCTGGAACTCACTATGTAGCTCAGGCTGGTCTCAAACTCACAGAGCTCTGCCTGCCTCTGCCTCCCCAGTGCTGGGATTAAAGGTGTATGCTAGTAAGCCTGGATTAAAATATATCTTTATTTTTAACTGATCTATAGTAATTATACATATTTATGGGATTATATGTGCTATTCAGCATATGTTTATAATGTATAATGTAAGATCAAAATAGCTGGCATAGGGAAAAAAATTCACCTCAGACTTTTACTTGTGTTGAGAACATTCAATATTTATTAGGTATTTTGAACTATTCATTGAATTATTGTCAGTCACGGCTACCTACTGTACTACAGACCAGGAAAGGTTCTTCCTCTGACCTAATTGCAGTCTGTTTCTATTAGCCATCCTCTCTCTCTCTCTCTCTCTCTCTCTCTCTCTCTCTCCCTCCCTCCCTCCCTCCTCCTCTTCTCAAGCTTTGCTAACCACTGTTCTACTCTATTTCTTGGAGATCATCTTTTTAGCTCTTAAACATAAATGGGAATAAACAGTATTTATTTTCCTGTGCTTAACTTATTTCACTTTATATTAAAGCCCTCTAGTTCCATCCATATTGCTGCAAATAGCAGGATTTCATTCATCTTTATACTGAATAACACTCCACTGTATACACGCACCACATGTCATTTATCTGTCCTTCCGTCGGCAGACAGTTAGGTTGATTCTGTATATTGGCTTCTGGGAACAGTGCTGCAATAAGCACATGAGTACAGAAGTCTACAGCACACTGACTTCAGTTCCTCCATATCCACCGAGCAGGGAGGTCACAGGATCATACTGTAGCTCTATTACTAGTTTTGAAAGATAGTTTTCCCTTGCAAGGGAAATTCATGGGGTTGATAACTAAGTTGTTCACATATAAAACATGTCTTGATATTTTTATTTAAACATACTTAAGTACTCAAAGCATTCTATCTATATTTGTTGTTGTTGTTTTGTTTGTTTATTTTTATTTTGGTGTTTATGAGACAGGGCCTCCCCGTAGTCCCAGTTGGCCTGGAACTCACTTATGTAGACCATGCTGGCCTTGAACTCACAGAGATCTACCTGCCTCTGCCTCCCAAGTGCTGAGAATAAGGGCATGTATCACCACACCTGGCCACATTCAATATTTTTACACAAAGGATCCCTTGTATAATGGCTAAGGTTTATTGTTTTTATGAAATTCACTTCTTTGGTAATATATTTAACATAGAGTACAGAGGTTTATAGATTATTAGGGACTGGAGCCAACAATCATCAAGGACTATATGGATAAGGTCAGTGCTGAGATGGCTCCTTCCAACAGTCAGTCCCTCTATCAATTTCCTGAAGGATCAGTATTATCACTCTTTTTTTCAGTCAGAAAACTCAGAACTAAGAGACATGGAAAATGCAGGCCTTTGAAACAAATCATTTAAAGTACACAGGCAATTCAGAATATTAATGAATGCGCTGAGGTATTACCTGCTTGATTGGAAATAGGGCATTGCTCTGTATGTAGCCCAGACTGGCCCTGAACTTAGCAGTCCTCCTGTCTCAAGATCCTGGGACTACAGGTGTGCATTTCCATACCTGGCTACTAAAAACTGTATAGGATGGGTAATTTCATATGTGCATGATATCTGAAGAAAAGCCACCTAAGGGACTTACTGAAGGTCACTATTCACTAGTTGTTACTGTACAAGAACTGTGATGAGCATGTGGAGAGATTATGCCCATAGTCCCAGCACTCAGGCAAATAAGAGATTGAAGGCCAGATTGGGCAACATAGCAAGAGCTCACCTCAGAAAAGTTGTGATCCTATTTAAAAAAAAAAAAAAAATGAAGCATTATGCTAGATTTTGTGCTTTATTTTACCAAGTCATGACCAGATTTCATTCCAAGGTTCCAAGGGAACCGAGAACACAGGGAGACTTACCACGGTGTCCAGCTGTATCCAATGGACCTCATTGTTGGAGTTGATTCGGGACTGCTGGGTCTGCAGTGTGTATGGGAAGGAGCTGACTTGGAGCACCAGGAGGTTGAAGGCTTCTAGAACTTCTCTGCAATTAATGACTCTATCAGCCAATCCATGACTGGGTTCACCATGTGACAGAGAGCCGGAAATCACACTGTAGAAATGGTGAAAGTCATGTTAGTTTTCCACGCCTAATGACCAGATACAGAAGCAGACTACACAGGAATAATGTACTTATTTGAGAACAGATACAATCAAAACATGATTAGAGTTGGTCATGATGGCACACACTTGTAATTCTAGTCCTCAGGTGCTGAGACAGGAAGATCAATAGTTCAAGACCAGCCTGGGCTATATAATGAGACCCTGTCTCAAAAAAATGCAATTTGAAAGACAAAAAAATTGCATCCTTTCTTACCCCCTTCCTGACAGATTTCAAGGGTTCTCCCCTCCCTGGCTCGAGTTACTTCAAAGTATAAACCCAGCCATCCAGAGCCAGGATAGCTAAGTCTGGAGTTGAGTTGAACTGCTTTCCTTTGAGTGTTTCTCCAACAAAACTTTCACCTGCACCTACAGTAGCTGGGGCACCCTGTGTTAACCCCACTCTCCTTCCTGCCTTGGGTTCAAGACTGATAGGAAGGTTGGGAGGCCTCCTTTCCCCACAACCAAGGCCAAGATTCACATCTCTGAAGCTTTCTCAGTTCTATTCAATTTGAGTATACCAAGTTGTCATGCAATCTCAAAAATATATATATCTTAGTTTCTTTTTGTTTTAGTGTGTGTTATGTGTGTGTGTGTGTGTGTGTGTGTGTGTGTGTGTACACAGGTGAAGGCTCAAGGATGACATCAGGAGTCTTCCTCAACCACTTTCTACTTTATTCATTGAGACAGGGTCTCTCACTTAAGCCCAGGGCTTGCCCATATGTCCAGTCTAGCTAGGGAGCTTGCTCTAAGAATTGCATCTCCTCCACCCACCCAGAGTTTCTGTGGGTTCTGGGGATCTAAACGCTAGTTTTCATGCTTGCTGCTTGTGTGGCAAGCACTGTAACTGTGGAACCATCTCCCTAGCCCCTAAACGCACATTTAAAATTTAAGTTTGATGACCTGGAGAATTAAACACAATGGCATCCCTCAAACTTTCAAAGACAAAGCATATCAGGTCAGTGAGCTATTTGTACTCTGAGAATGCTAGCAATAACTGAATAGATGTATGCAAAAAACTTTTCCTACTTCCTTCCTCTTTCTCTTTTCCACCCTTTTAACTCCTCTCCTTACTTCTGAATCTACCAGGTCACGCAAGGTCCTATTTATACCTACCCATAGCTCTCAGATTTAAATTGTAAAATATCAAGCACATTCTGTTTTATCCAAGCTGTTGTTGGGATAATTAATATACCAAATTCTCCTTTGAAATGAAGACACTTTCTGAATAAGTGATTTCTGTGATTCTGACTTAAAAAAAAAAAGACAAAAAACCCCCAAAAAACAAAAACAAGAACAACAAAACCCTCTAGAGTCCTAACTCCGGTGTCTCCTGGAAGAGGATCTATAAATGCTCAGCAAGGTCCCATGTTCTACCCTTTACATGGTGAGGACAAACCATGCCATACTCAAAGGTGGTTTCCTCTCTCCCCCTTTTAAATGATTGGCTTTTTCAGAGCACAGGAGCAAAGATATGGGGTGCCAGGATAGCTACAATTCAATCTGGGAGCAAAAGCAGCTCCATCATTCCAGACAGACTATTATTCCATTAAGTCCACCCAAGAAATATCAGTCTTTTCTAAATTTGAAACCTGGGGAAGGTTACAGATGTGCTCTCAGATCACTGAAGTGTCATTCTACTGCTTTTAAAATTCAAAAAGGAGAGAGTGCCTGTTCCCACCTCCCTCTGGCATAGGGACTGCCTGAGAGCGCCAGGATCTTGCTTCCACGCAGTGATAAGAGTTATCCAATTTGGGAGTCTTTTAGATAGATCCACTGAAGGGTACGCCAGTTGCCTCACCCTGCGTCCCTGTTCAGCATGGAGGAAATCAGAGCGGTCTGCGTCCCAATTCCCTATCCACAAGTTGGGTAACCTCTTCAGAGAATGGTGTGATAAGAATAGGAAGTAGGAATTGTCTAGGAAGTTAGGGTAAAAAGACCCCAAAGAATAGTAGCCAGTTTCTTGGCTAAAACTCACAATTTCCTTGGACCTCTTAGCAACATACTCCATTCCAAAGCCCAAAACAATGAGTACATGAAGTTATCAGAAAAAAATGATGGGCAGATATGGGAGGAGTTGGAGGGGAGGGAGTGGGCATAGATTTGATCAAAATACCTTATATGCATGTATAAAATTCCCA